AATCAAAATCTCAAGGTTTCTGGGGTTTTATATTGAAAAAACAAGAAGTATTCTCATCTCCAATGTTCCTTGTATTTTTCTATTTATTTATTTTTTAAAAAATAATTTTTATTAACAAACCGATCAAATCACATTAATTCCAAATTACAGAGCCAAATTGTAAATTTCTGTTGGGGGTACCCATATTTCGAGCTTCGAAAGAGATCCGATTATCTTATTGCTGCTGCTTTGATGTTCACAGTTCTGTCCAAATAATGTTCACAATTCTGTCCAATCCTCTCTTTGTTGTTTTCCTCATCTCTTCTTGTTGTTTTCGTATATTTTTCCTTTCTCTTTGTGACCTCTGATACTCTCCACAAGCAAGTTGAAAACAAGCATTTTTATAATCCTGTGTGGGTTTTTCCATTCATCCAAGAGTCATATTCAGACGGCAGATGCATTTCATCACTACCATAGAAAAAACAATCTTACCGTCTGCTCATTAATCTTCGCAGGCCTGTCACTCCCTTCTCGATCTTCTCAAGGGGTTCTGCCAGGAGTCCAATATAATAACAAAGCCATGGCTTCCTCCCCCTTGATCATCAATCCTGCAACAAAGCCTGCCAACATGGCGACTCTATTTTTATAACTGCGTCATTCCAAAAGCCTTTCATTCTTTTCCAGATCTCCATAAGCCAAGCCATTGGTTAGTAATTCATTTCCACACCATTCTTAATCATCCCGCTTGTAGTCAATTGTGCAACGGTTCTTCTTGGGGAGGGATTGTTAGGTAATCACATTGTATTCCTCTATTTAAGCCATTTTCAATCCAAGTTAGTATTTTTAATCTGCCATTCTGGTTGTATTTAAGGAAAAATAATTATTTTTTTATTCCTGCTTTAATAATGTCTTTATTACTCTTCCTCTTCTTCCTGTTTATCAGTGCTATCCTCAGATAATTCCTCTATCCCCCTTTCTGTTCCTGTCACGAGCCTCCCTTCTCCTAATTCTTATATTAAATTTTTCATCTGAAATTTCTATGCTTCAGATATATCCCTGCATTGTTGTTTCTTATTTTTATATGTAAGAGAGACTCACTTCAGGAATTCCCATCTCTATGGAATTTGCTTATTTCTTAGAGCATCTGTCAAAAAATTGGAATTAGCTTGGTTTTTTTAGCAGTTGGAAGGGAATTTATTTTAGATTAATTTTATTTTTCTCTCCTATCTGTAATCTATTCTGATAGTTCGTTTGTAATATTTGGTCTCTGATTTGGCGTGAATTAAAAATTACCAGACAGTCTCCTGGTAACTTTTTTTCACCTTTGCAAAGCTTGATTTAATTCAGAAGATTTAATCAAAAGAGTTTTCCATCAGTTCTTCCTGTACCTCTATCTCATTAGACAACTCCTTAATCAATTTGGACCTTATATCTTCCTCTGGTTCTACTGAAATTCATCTAAGACAGAGAATCATTTCCTTCTGACACCTTTCCAAAACCGCAATCGCATCGCAGGCTGCTTCCTGGGAGACATTAGCCTCCACCACCTCCTCTTTAATTTTTCCTGGCCTTTTCTCAATTCCAACCCTTCTGCCTTAACCCTCTTTGTTTTTCTTCCTCTAATCCCTGTGTCTTGGATTTTAGCTCCTGTACTGTTAGTCCCCGTGCCGTAGTGTTCCCATCCACCTTATCATTGCTGACACAACTCAGATTCCTTTTGTGGGTTGACTCTTTTTGTTATGTACTGAGATTCTCACCCTGGGCCAGTAGGGGGATACCGTAGAATCTTATGCAAATGAAGGATCGAAAGTGACGTTCAGTGACTGGATAGTTTTAGAAAGTTGCTAGAGTACCGTTGTACTGGAGCTCTATATATGCAGGCTGACTGAGGCCTTCAGCTCAGTTCTGTTCTGGCCTCTGATTAAAAAAATAGCTGTTTCAATAATCGCTGTGTCGTTTGATATGTTCACCCACAACTTAACACTTTTTCCTCCTCCTCTTCCACTTGCCCTCACAAATGTCCCCCTACTTAAGTCTAAACCATCTGGGGTTTTTGTTTTTTGCTTGTATACCTGCATGATGCCCCAGTCCCCCCAGAAAAGTTCTTCTTGACAGGATCCAGCCAGAATGCTCTAAAATGCTGCCCTTACTTACAGAGGACAGTTTCAGCATCCTTATTTACCACACTGGCTCCCTCTCCTCAGCTATGTGTGGTGTCCTAGCTGCTGAGCAAAGCAGGGAGTGACAGCAAACGTCAGAACCTCTTCACAGTCCTGTTGCAAATCTTCGAAATACATGTTTAAGGACCCTCTGATGTTGCACTGTAAGGTCCGATGGAGCTGAGAGAGGCTGGCTAAACATGAAATGATGATCACTCCTCTGTGTCATGTACTTCACTAGGCACCCAGTTAAAAGCGCTCATCATAGAACAATATCCCCAGGCAAAATGTGCAACTCTCTCTGGGCTTCTTCCAATCATTCCTGGCTGAATGAAGTGCACTTTCAGGTTTGGAATGTACATCTGACACACACATAGAGAACTGGCATTTTTCGCTTTTTCTGGGGTGCATTGAATCTTTCCCTAGCCATGTTTTAGTTCTGCGAGAGAGGTAGCGAGGCGGAAAGAGCACACCTTCTTTTCCCCTTATCTCTATTCAAGTATTGTATGCCCTTGACCAAAGAACAGTGCACTCCTATCTGGGATGGCCATCCTCTTTCAACGTTCATGCAGATTCAAGTGTGTGTGTGTGTGTGTTTGTGTGTGTATGGATATTTTCACCCCCTTCCATTGCGAGAATCTCCTGATATGATGTTTTCAGAAAGGAGGGGGAGCAAACTGCTCTTCGCTTCTTCCTCTCCTGCCTGACTCTGTGGGGAGTCTGAGTGTTATCTATGTAGAGATTAGATGGCTGAGTGGGAGCTGTAACACTCATTCAAGCCAGTAGCGCTTGAGTTTTAGCTTGCAGTAGCTATTAGAAATAAAATAAGATATGCTTCACAGCTTTCTTCCATGTTGTTTATAGTCTGCTGAGTTTGGTGCTCACAACTCACAGTTGTGGGTCCAGTTTACTTAGACCTGCTTTCCAGGAGTGGAAGGGCTCTAGAAGTGCTCCAGTCTCGTTGCCCAGTCATGGCAGATGCAGTTGTACAGCCCAGTCATTGGCATCGGCTCAAAGGTGTACTGACAGGGGGGGTGCACATTGACCGATGAGGGAGGGAGGGGACACTTGCCCAGTGGCGTAGCGTGGGGGTGCAGGGGGGCCTGCCGCACCGGGCGCAACATCTGCTGGGGCGCGCTCGCACTCACAGCTCTCTGCCCCTACCTGGCTCACTCACTCTCTCTCACTGCAGTGCTGGCTGTGCGAATCCAATCCGAGCTGCTGGGTCACCGCCCACTGTGGAGGGGGTGGGTGCCAGGCGTGTGGTGCAGAGAGAGAGCGAGGAACTATCTGGGGGAGGGACAGTGCAGTGGCCGCCCAGCGCAGCGCTGAGTGCGGGAGAGAACCACACCAGACCAGACCAGGCAGCAGCAAGAAGAAGCTGGCAGTGGTGGCAGGTTAGGGGTTAGGGGGCGCAAATTCCTTGCCTTGCCTCCGGTGCTGACAACCCAAGCTATGACACTGCTTTTGCCTAGCTAGCCAGATCAGCCGAATCAACCGTGGCAATCAATGTATGCCCTTGACCAAAGAACAGTGCATTCCTATCTGGGATGGCCATCCTCTTTCACCAAGCATGCAGCTTCGGGTGTGTGTGTGTGTGGTGTGTGTGGATATTTTCACCACCTCCCATTGCGAGAATCTCCTGATATGATGTTTTCAGAAAGGAGGGGGAGGAAACCGCTCTTCGCTTCTTCTTCTCCTGCCTGCAGGGCGTCTGAGTGTTATCTATGTGGACATTGGATGGCTGGGTGGGAGCTGTAACACTCATTCAAGCCAGTAGCGCTTGAGTTTTAGCTTGCAGTAGCTATTAGAAATAAAAGAAGATATGCTTCACAGCTTTCTTCCGTGTTGTTTATACTCTGCTGAGTTTGGTGCTCACAACTCACAGTTGTGGGTCCAGTTCACTTACACCTGCTTTCCAGGAGTGGAAGGTCTCTAGAAGTGCTCCAGTCTCCTAGCCCAGTCATGGCAGATCCAGTTGTACAGCCCAGTCATTGGCATCGGCTCAAAGGTGTACTGACAGGGGGGTGCACATGGACCAATGAGGGAGGGAGGGGACACTTGCCCAGTGGCATAGCGTGGGGAGCCTGCCGCACCAGGCGAACATCTGGGGGGGCGCTCGCACTCGCAGCTCTCTGCCCCTACCTGGCTCACTCACTCTCTCTCACTGCAGTGCTGCCTATGCGAATCCGATCTGAGCCGCTGGGTCACCGCCCACTGTGGAGGGGGTGGGTGCCAGGTGTGCGGTGTGGAGAGAGAGCGAGGGACTATCTGGGGGAGGGACAGTGCAGTCGCCGCCCAGCGCAGCGCTGAGCGTGGGAGAGAACCACACCAGACCAGACCAGACCAGCAGCAAGAAGAAGCTGCCAGCGGCGGCAGGTTAGGGGTTAGGGGCACAAATTCCTTGCCTTGCCCCGGATTAGGGGGCACAAATTACCTGCCTTGCCCCCGGTGCTGACAACCCACGCTACGCGCTGCACTTGCCTAGCTAGCCAGATCAGCCGAATCAACCCTGGCAATCAACGGGACAATGGATGTTGCAGGCAGATAGCCCTCACTTCCAAATATATAAAATCATAACTACCTAATACGTATTGCAGTGGTGTCTGCTGCTGCTGAAATAACCAACTAACTATGGCATTATCTTCCCTACATTTCTGATTTGTATTATAAAATGTGAGGACCCTTTTTATAATATGTATGGGGGCTGTTCTTTTTAGATGTAGGGCTGTAGCCAGCTAAGTTCTACTCAGTGTAGACCTATTGGAAATAATGTATCTAAGATAGACATGCCCCCCCCCCATGCCTAGGAGTGAAACCTAGGAATGAGTAAAATAAGTGAAAAATCAACAGAACCAAAAATATAATTATGATGCAGATAGATAGCGTTTATTGTAGTGGAAAGAGGAGATCATGAAAGCATTTCTTAGGTGAGCGTCTTCAAATAGGTCGACAATCCTTTCAGCCACAAAAGAGTTAAATGATAAAGTGACAGATGAATTTATAATTGACACAAGGCAAAGGAACACAGGGGAAGAAAGAGATTCTCAGGGAAGTGGAAGCATCAGAACTCTTGCGGGCCTGAAGCATATTAAGAGTGCCATCAATGAGTGATAGAAAGGAAACAGAAAGGATGCGCTTAAGAGAGACAGAAGGAAAGCTCAAAGAAGCATTGATCAGGGATGTGTAGGCGAGAGTGTCAGAAATGCTGAGCAACCTTTTGATCCAATCCATTCTGGTTTGTCTGGATGGTGGAGGCTCAGCATTCCTGACACCATACAATCATAGAATTGTCGAGTTGGAAGGGACCACAAGGGCCATCAAGTCCAACCCTCTGCAATGCAGGAATCTCAACTACAGCATCCATGACAAATGGCCATTAGACGTTGATCCTTGGTGTGCATTTCAGGTACCATTCCCCACACCCCGTTCCTGTGGGGGATCACAATCCCATTCGAAAGAGAGACAAGCTCATCTTCGTCTCAGTATAGGAACTGTCGCTGGATGAGAAGGGAGATTGTAAGCAAAAGAATTTGGGTGCATCAGTGAAGGCAGCTGCATTGCTGATGAAGGAGCATGCATGCTAGCCTGAGTTATCTGGGCAGGGGTGGGGTTGGGGAGAGTCGTGTTTGTTCCCTGTTTCATAACATCAATCTCCATCTCCACCCACACTGTCATCGGCCTAAGTGTTCCGTCGGCTGCCTTTGTTAATACTTCAATAGGCATGCTGCATTTCATAATGGGTGTCATTGCAGCTGTAGTCATTGTAGAACAACTGGTGTGAATCTGGAAAAAATAACATGGAAGTGTTTAAGATGGTGTACTCTAATGTCTACTCAGATTCTGTTTTAATTACAAATTTTGCATCAATAAATACTATGAGCAATCTTTTCTGAAAGTGGTGTCCAGTTACATCACAGTAAATAGTCTAATATAACAAGCAGATAGATTTTTAGCAGGCGATATACAGACACACAAAAAAACAAAAAAACCCTTATCCTCCCAACTTTTTCTCCCTTTTTTTGGCAGAATGAGGTCTTCGTTCCTCACACACCTGCATGGCAACAGCATGAGGCGAGTCAAAACTACAAATTTGAGGAGGGGGGTATACAAGTTCAAAGAGTGACCTTAGGTGGTCCTTGGTTACTTTGTTAAAGGCTTAGTCAGATAAAAAAACTCTCCTGTACAGTCATACCTCGGAAGTCGAACAGAATCCATTCCGGAAGTCCATTTGACTTCAGAAACATTCAGAAACCAAAGCGCGGCTTCTGATGGAATGCAGGAAGCTATTGCAGCCAATCGGAAGCCACAGAAGCCCCATTGGATGTTCGGCTTCCAAAAATAGTTCGCAAACTGGGACAGTCACTTCCGGGTTTGCAGCGTTCGGGAACCAAAGCGTTTGAGAACTATGCTGTTCGAAAACCAAGGTACAACTGTATTACCCTTAGTATCTGAATAGAGTGAATCCTCATTCCTCATAATGCACTTTGTGTCCCTGGATTAGACAATCCACTCAGGATAAAACAAATCCATTACACTATTCCAGCTATGTAAGTATTTTCATGTTTCCACTGCGATTCACACCAAATCTATGAGGCAAATGTGAAAGCTTGCAACTTTCTAATTACCCTGTTCCTCAAAAATAAAATAAAAAAATGTCTAGTAGCACCTTAGAGACCAACTAAGTTTGTTCTGGGTATAAGCTTTTGTGCATGCACACTTCTTCAGATACTCTGAAACAAAAGTCACCAGACCTTAACGGTGTCTGAGAAAATTTTTACACATCACTTGGGAAGACAGGCAAACTAATATCAGTGTACTGGAAGAAGCAAAGATCACCAGTGTTGAAGCAATGATTCTTCAACATCAACTTCATTGGACTGGTCATGTTATGTGGATGCCTGATGACCGTCTTCCAAAGCAACTACTCTATTCCGAACATAAAAATGGAAAGTGTAATGCTGGTGGTCAACAAAAGAAGTTTATAGACTGTCTCAAGGCAAATTTTAAAAAATGTAGTATAAACACTGACAACTAGGAAACACTGGCGTGCGAGTGCTCCCGTTGGAGAACAGCCTTTACAAAAGGTGTCACGGGCTCTGAAGACACTCATACTCAGGACTCAAGGGAGAAACGTGCTTTGAGGAAGGAACCCTTGGCAAATCCACACCGTGATCAAATCCTGCCCAGAAACCAATGTCCCCACTGTGGATGGATGCGTGGATCCAGAATTGGCCTCCACAGTCACTTAGGGACTCATTGTTAAAACAATGTTTATGGAAGACAATCTTACTCGGCTATGAGTGATTACCAAAGAAGAAATAAGATATATAGGGTAGACGTTTCTCATGAAGTTAGTAGGAGATGGGTGATTGACTCAATGGGTATGGTAAACCTCTTGACGACTGTTAATGACTGCAATTAGTCCTACAGGAAAAAGCAAGGGATAGTATGCAGATGACAAAAAATAGCTCTAGCTGTTCAAAACACAATCCCTATTGAATCTCCTCCAGAGTCACAGAATGCGTCTGGGCCCTTTTCCTATTAAAGCTTTGATTTAAAGACAACTTACCAACAGCAGGAAAGGCTGAGCAACAGAAGTCAAGGGAAGCTGGAAGACTCTGGTGAGGAAGACAAAAATGTCTGGAGCATTTATACCGTTTGCTTTTGGCTTCCACGCCTTGAGTCAGCATTGCTCTTTCCTAATGGGCACTTGGCACAAATGCCTAGAAATCTCACAAACATTTTTCTTTCAATGATTAACCCCACGGGGGAAGAGTGTGATCTCATTCAAGAGTTCATATTTCATTATAGATTATTATAGTCCCTGGTTGGATGCCTTTGTTGGAAGCACATATCGTTAATTACTAATGCCACCTTGTCTCAACCCTTATGTTATTTGATTACACAAAGGGACGCAAAAAAATATATATTGTGTTTAAGGTTTACGTTTGGCCTCATTGAGGGGCAGTATTTCAATATGAGTAGTGTGACGGCAAAATCTGAGTGCGTGAGTGCACAGCCACCCAGCTCGTCGGACAAAGTCCGCGGGTCCTAGCGGAGGAGAAAGGAGCTCAGCCGGACACAGGAGCAAAATACGAAGATCCGAGTTTATTGCGCAACAGGTTCAAAATGGCATTGAACCCCGAGAATGGGGCGACATAAACTTTTAAAAGTTCCCTCCAAGTCCCAGAATACAGTGCACGAAACGTCATGAATACATTATGGGAAGGTTGGGTTTCATGGATTACATCATGAATATATTACACACGTCATGAATATCTCAGAGAAAGGTGGGGTTACACTAATTAACATTTGAGATAGGGGAGGGGGAAATATGTAGAGCGAGAGATACACACAGATAAACATTTATCAAGTACCGGTGGTGGCAGGACAAAGGGCCAGAGATATGCATCGTCTGCCACCTGGTATTGCCCGGAGGAAGGGTTATGCGAAGCGATCTGACAGGATTAAGAAGTTCCTGTGTACGTGCCCTGTCGCTCCGGGGATTATGGAAGTAGGGATCACATCATGGAGTCCAAAGGGAGCTGAGTTGAATGACACCAAGAGCAAAGAAATCGGAGTTATGGTTGATTTTATGTCAATTTCCAAAGGTTTCCTATGCTGTCTGACCTATTCCGTATTGGTGATCAAAAGCGGAAACAAAATGGACACATTGTAGCAAGAATGGATACATTTTGACAGTTTTACGAGGTCTCTGGTTTCGGATCCATTGTTCTCACAGTGGGGGGCCGTCAGCAGCTTGTCAGTAGGTTCAATGAGGCGTGCAAGGGCTCCCTGAGCTAGCTCCTGCAGGATGAATGCATGGCTGTGATTGGCTAAGACGCAGCCATAGGAATAAGCGGAGAGACAGGAACGCCCGGTCTACTCGTTCTAAGTATGGAGCGCAAATAGCCATAGGAAGAGATAGGAGAATATGTCCATATATTTGAGCTTATTTCGCTTGTGAAAGAAAGAAGGAAAAAAGGGGTTACGGGAGACGTGTGGTGCTTGTGCAACGGTGAGGGGACTGAGGGTGGGTGTACTGTGGGTACCCTCGAGGTCATCGCCTCGGTTGTTCAAAGGAGAAGGGGAAAGGAGGTACCCCCCCTTTCCCAGTCCGTATCAGTCCCCCATTCGGAGATAGATTTGCATTAAAGTTCTGAAGGAACTTGCAAATCCTTTCTCCGCTAGATTTTAGTGATCTCGTATTCCCCTTCCCCCAGATGTCTCATCTGTACGTAGTCCGGGAAGTTAGTGTGTTGGGAACGGGAATAGGCTCGAAGAGGGAATGAGTTAGAAGAAGTAGAGTGGCGGAGGAGGGAACAGCAGGGGCTAATACAGTGCACGGTACAACATAAGATAGAGACACAAAAAACAGCGGTCAATATAAGAAGCAGTATGACTTTCAGTAACTGTCGGAGCCATCCTAGCTTGGGTAACCATCCCCACAAGTCCAGATCGGATAGCCCCTCATGTTGGATATTGTGTAGCCTCCCTGCTAACTCGTGAATGTTATTTAAATGTCTGGTTATGTTCAAAGTCTGGTCGGTCACATATGTGCAGCACTCTGTACCTATTAAGGCACAGGTGCCTCCTTGACTGGACAAGAGGAAGTCGGTTGCAATCCTCATCTGTAGGCTCAACTGTCTCACCTCGGATAGTTCGGACATGAGGGAATCTGTGACCTGGGTCGCCTCCTGCATAAATTTCAGGAGGATGTCGGTGAGTCGGAGAATATCTACGTGGTTTGACCCAGCACCGTAGGCGGGGAAGAGTGCTCGGCCTACGGTCTCTCCATTCGCAGCAACGTCTGACAGGTCTGACAGTTCCCTTTGCTCCCTTTTGTTCCGTTGTCTTCCAGGGGGTAGGTGTGGTAATATTCTAATTCCGGGAACGATGTAGCCAATGAAGCAGGATCCGGACATGTGTGGGCTCACCCATGTATAAGCGCGGTGCCCACACACCCAGAATAGGCCGCTGAGGTAAGATTCCATTCTGCCTGAAGCAAAGGTTTGCAGTAGCATGGTGTCTGTGGGTTGTGGCTTCCAGTCCAAGGGGTGTCCGACTGCAGTGGCCCAGGCAACAGTAAGGTTAGGAAAAGTCCGGGAGTCCCTTGTGTTGGAGACAGTGACCAGTCCAGTTGGTAGGATTTCCAGAGTGTTGGTGCATGTACTGGATCTGACGAAGGTTCCTTCCCCGGAGAAGCTGCGGCAAAGGGGTCCCTTTGTAGGGCCGGTGAGGTAGAGGTATTGATGTGTCAAGTTGAGTGCGGTCAAGTTCCAGGAGGTAACGTTTCCGGAACGGAACTGTTCTAGGGTCACCGGTACTGGGACCAGTGGGAGGCTCTGTTGGAGATGGCTGGGTGCGTGAGCGCAAATCCAGCAGTCCGGGTAGGGTGCCTCCTTTGCCACCTGGCTGAGAAGCTTAATGTAGGAGTTTTGCTCCCAGGATGACAGGAGGTCTTCTCCCGGGAGTGCCGAGTCAGTGCCAAATTGTCGGGGTGCCGTGCCGACCGGATGGAGGGGGTCGGTGGTGTTCAGTAGTCGCCTATCCCTGGCGATACCGCCGCATCGCAGGGGTCCGACGTGGTCCCATGAGGGGGAGCGCGAGGGGTGTATAGGATGGTGCCACCCTTCGAGATATTCAGCCCCTTTCCACTCATAAGTGACCCCTAAGTCCCATAAACAGCAGAACCGTCGCAGGCAGAGTCCTTGGAGTTGGGGCTTCCGGGTTTCTGGGGTGGAGCGGAGGCACTGGAACCCGAAAATCAAGTTTCCAGAGGGGTGGTTTGATTCCGTATAAGCGTGAGTAGCCCCTCCTGTCTCGACTTCGGTCCAGTTTGGGGTTTGCGAGACCTCTCCACTCTCGTAAAGAAGGTAAGTCCCGTTATGGCAAGTCAGACGGTAAGAAGAATGGTCAAGAGTGAGGGCAGCAGACCCGATGCGGCGTAAGTCTTTGTTTCAGATGAAGAGTTCCCAGTATCCGTCATTGGCAAGTCGAGGTACTAGGGAATGGCGCAGTAGGGTTCGAGACTCAGGAAGGCAAAAATCAAAGTCCCCCATTCGATCAGGGTTGGACCTTCCCCCTGTCTCGACCTCGTGATAGTCCAGGAAGTGATAGTCCGTTTGCAATCCTGTGCAGTGGTCCGATGAGGTAGTCGTGACTCTGGATAAGGCGGCAAGAAGGAGGGCGGCACAAGCAAGATCCATGGGCTGAATGCGCATAAGGGGCAGGTTGTCAAACTTAAACGGAGGTGTCAAGCGGAGCTGTCAGATGAACTGTCAGATGAGCTGTCAAATGAAGCGGTGGAGCTGTCAGATGAGCTGTCAAATGAAGCGGCGGAGCTGTCAGATGAGCTGTCAGATGAGCTGTCAAATGAAGCAGTGGAGCTGTCAGATGAGCTGTCAGATGAGCTGTCAAATGAAGCGGCGGAGCTGTCAGATGAGCTGTCAGATGAGCTGTCAAATGAAGCGGCGGAGCTGTGAGATGAGCTGTCAGATGAGCTGTCAAATGAAGCGGCGGAGCTGTCAAATGAAGCGGCGGTGTAGGGAGCTGTCAGACGGAGCTGTCAGATGAGCTGTCAAATGAAGCGGCGGTGTAGGGAGCTGTCAGACGGAGCTGTCACAGCGTTTGAGACGTAGCTTGAGGGCGTCGGTGTCTGGGACGATCTCGGATGTCCAGTTGGATGTCGCGGCGTCCTGTCCGGTCTGTTGAGCCCGACCTTGGCCCCGATCTACTGGTCCGGTCTGTTGAGCCCGACCTTGGCCCCGATCTACTGGTCCGGTCTGTTGAGCCCGACCTTGGCCCCGATCTACTGGTCCGGTCTGTTGAGCCCGACCTTGGCCCCGATCTACTGGTCCGGTCTGTTGAGCCCGACTTTGGCTCCGATCCACTGGTCCGGTCTGTTCCTCGTCGTCGTCGATGTACGAGGTTGGAGGTGTGGGAGGGGTCGAAAAGGTGAAGTCCTCGCCGGGGTTTTCTTCCGTCTCTTGAGGGGGTGGCACGGACTTACACCTCGTGTGGTGGATCCACGAATTCTTCTCCCCTACCTTTACGGCGGTCGGTGATGTTAGGAGGATTTGGTAGGGGCCCTCCCAGGCGGGTTGAAGAGGTTCCTTTTGATAGACCTTGGTGAGGATCCAGTCGCCAGGATCGAAGGAGTGGGCTTGCACGTCAATGGGCAGGTTCTGTCCTTCGATGGCCGCGTACTGGTGGAGGCGCTGTAGCTGCGTCTGGAGCTGAACGACATAGTTAGTAAGTTCTGCTTCCCCCAGTTCGAGCTCCGAAAGGGGAAATAGAGTATTGTAGACGGGAGGGGGCCTCCCAAATAGGAGTTCGTACGGAGACAGTTTTAAGGGCCCTGTAGGGGCACTTCGTATATTGTGGAGAACCAATGGGAGTGCATTTACCCACTTTAGTCCAGTCAGTCTGCAAAGTTTTCCAAGTTGGATTTTAATTTCCTGGTTCATGCGCTCTACTTGGCCAGACGACTGTGGGTGATAGGTTGTATGAAGATCCCATTTTATTTGTAGTGCCTTTGCGACTAGTTGCACTATTTGAGCCGTGAAATGGGTTCCTCTGTCACTGTCTAGGCGGCGGGGAACCCCAAACCGGGGAATGATGTCTTGTAGGAGCGCTCTGGCTACTACCGAAGCGGTTGGTTTCCTACAGGGAAATCCTTCTACCCAGGAGGAGAGTTTATCTATTATGATGAGGGCGTGTTTGAAACCTTGGCAGGGCGGTAGATC